AGCAACCTGGTGTGGTCAATGGGAAGATGACAGATGTGGCTAGTCAGGAGGCAGACATAGGGCCTGCCTGACTCAGAGAACCAACAAGCACAGTGGGGACAGGAGAAGCCCCATCTCCTTAGCCCAGTGCAGGGTCAGGCAACTGGAGCCAACACCTATAAGTGTATCAAGAATGAAAAAATACAAAGAAACTCCATGTAAAATCCCCCAAGTGTGAAATGACTCCAAAGGGAAAACTAAAAACAGTAAAGAGCTAACCACATTAATGCCTCATACCCATGCTATAGTACCTAACAAGGATCTATGGAGAAAACAATACAAATGGAAAAAAACCTTTCCATGCTATGTGAGACCTTATCTATGATTGATTTAATATAATGTTAACCTTCCTTCGAGTGTTTCATAGATGTAAGACTCATTTGAAAGATACCTGAAGAAGCAAAGGCCAGCTATAGCTGTAAGATTCTTCGGAGTTTTATGGTTGGGTAAGATGAAGACAGAGACTCCCAAACTATACAACTGTTAAGAAAATCTACAGTACCGGGGTGGATTGCACCCTATGAGCTGTTGGTCAGAGAGATCCTAGAGGTCCTCAAATTCACCAAGGCTATTGCCATTAATGTCAGTTGTATACTAGAAAGGTCAGTAGAGCCATGTTGCTGAAGACACTGCATGTTGTGAGCATGGGAGAAGAGGAGATGGAACTGAGACTAAGCCAAAACACTCCATGCCACTGGATGGATGATGTTCATATTTCCAGAAGAAACTATGCAGATGGTTCAAGGATTTCCTATGATTCTACTCAATGATGGACTCTGCGTGCTGCACACTATAGACATGCCAAACAATACCTGCAAGTGCAATAATGGCTCGACCAACATATGTGCAACTGACAAATTTCTAATTGGATAAGGCCCGCTCCTAGGGGTGGAACACACATCTGGTGCTGTAGACCAGGCCAATGCCTTCTGTTGAGAAAGGCCACAGGCCCTAGTGGGGAAGCCATCACAAGTATACTGTTTAATGAATGTAACACCTACTGGGATATCTTCTAGGCATTTGTATTTACATTCATGTTTGTTTAAATGTGTCTACTTCCTTCCATTTGTCTTTATAGTAGACTAAACACCACTGAGATAGATAGACCAATGGCCACGGATTAAAGACAAATAATGGGGAAGCCCAAGAAGTCACTATCTCGCCACAATACAAGAGAGATCGCCCTATATCTGTCACTCCCTCCAAGGCTCAGGGACCTTAGCGGAAGATTGGCAGAAAGATTGTAAGAGTAGAAGAAAGGGGTGGAGTGTGTTCCCCAGGGGTTCTGGTTCCTCCAAGGGGGCAGGGCCTGCTGCAGAGAATTGACTGTGGAGAGTTAGCCATGAAAGGAGGGGCTTGTGGCACCATCTTGGGATGGGAGCAAGGAGCTGCCAGGAACCTGTAGCCTGCACCACCAGGTGTGGAGAATGTGTGGAGGGGGGTGTGGAGAAAAAAGATGGCCCTGGCGTCTTACCTGTGTCACAAGAAGGGGCATTTACTGACCCAGGATGAGACTGTGGGCCCAAGATGTGTGGGCGAATGCTAGCAGTGACTATGGGTGTGCTGCAGGAGTGATGTGGTATGGCGGGCTCTTGAGCTATGGTGCAGAGCTGGGTGGCCTGGAGCTTACTGGCGCAGAGCTAGGCACTGGGTGTTCCTTTCGTTGTAAGTCACTCCCCCTCCTATGATAATAATAAATGTACATAAAGATATGTTATATAGTTTGCCTGATAGCACAAGAGACCCAGAGAGAACTCTGGCGACACTATGAACAGTGGTATTCTCTGCTATGCTTGTAAAGAAGGTCACGTTTGTCAGACACATACCTACTAAATAGTTATGTGTAGCTAAAAACAGTTATGAAGAAATAGGTTGAAATGGGTAGACTGTTCCTCAAAGGATGAACCATTTATATTTTTTAAGTAACATGTAATAAGACTTTTTTACATTTACAGTTTTTCTCATCAGAAGTATAACATTATGTATTTGCTCTGCAAAACCCTAAGACTAGAATGAACAAAAACTTAAAAATAACTGGCTAATATTTCCTACCCATTATTGTTATCAGTGCTTCCTTTTATATAACTTTGATGAACTAAAATAAAACATAAAAAATATAAATCAAATGAGATAAAATAGTTACTACTATATAGTAATAGGAAACTATGTGGACAATGACCACTATAAACTTTGTTTTCCTAATAAAGGAGAAATTGTCTTCTCTGGTTCAGCCTTGAACCTAGTAGTGAGGGCTGCCTCAGCTCTATAGAGTATTCACATAGGACTGTTAGTTTAACCCATGGGTCAGCTTGTGGGCTCAATCTGACTTGTTGCCTTTCTGTACATGGCCTACAAGCCAAGAATACTTTTCATATTTTTAAACCAGCTTTTAAAAAATTAAGGTGTGATGGTGCACACCTTTAATCCCAGCACTTTGGAGGCAGAGGTAGGTGAGTTCAAGACCAACCAGACCAACCAGGACTACATAGAGAAACCTTGTCTTAAAAACAAAATAACAACAACAAAAATGAATAAACAGGCTGGAGAGATGGCTCAGTGGTTAAGAATGTCTACTGTTCTTTCAGAAGACCTGAGGTCAGTTCCTAGTATCCATGTTGGGTTGGCTCACAGCTGTAACTTCAGCTCCAAGGAATCCTTTATCTCTGACCTCTGTCTGCAGGTGCCTGCACTTACTCACACATATACACAGATACACACACATATGTATAAATTAAACAAACAAACAAAATCCAGCTGCAAAAGGTATGGGGAAGTAATTCAGAATTCAAATTTTATAATGTATAGTATGCATGATATTACATGATGCATGTATATAATGCACATAAGTAGTTTTATTGGAGCATGTTCATGCTTGTTAATGTATTTATCTATGGCTACTTTCATGCCTTGGCAGGGCTAAAGAAATCTTGACAGGGACCACATGGCTATGAAATTGAAAGCATGTACATTCCCTTCATAGAATGTTGGCTGACCACCAGTTTAACTTCAGAGATGCAATTATTTATATACATCATCTGTTTAAGGGTTGTGCCTGATCCTGGGATATTCCAGCTCCCTCTGTGATTGGAAAATATCTTATCAGGGCTACAGGCCAAGATATAATAAAAAGAGCTTCCCAAGGATGCGTGCCTGGAAAAGTTGTTCCAGGTAGCAGAAGCTGGCTCTGAGTTCTCTATTTTTAGGTAATAACCACAACAACCCCAGCACCATACCAAACTTGTCTAAAGTTATACTTATTGACTATCCAGATCCCAGATGGTATACCTATGAGTTTGAGAAGGGAAAGGTAGGTTAAATGGGACTTCACTACCTTTTTTTTTTTTAGAATTATAAATCAGAGTTGGGAGTGGTGGGACATGCCTTTAATCTCAGCACTTGGGAGGCAGAGGCAAGCAAATCTCTGTGAGTTCAAGGCCAGACTGGTCTACATAGTGAGTTCTAGACCAACTGGAGTTACAGGAAGACCTTGTCTTAAAAAGACAAAAAAAATTATAAATCAAAATTTATTATTAGTAGCACATAAAGACAGCACCACGAGAGGGGACAAGAACTATAAAAGGAGACAAAAATATAATACTATTGAAATTAAATAGGTATTATTCGCAACTGCTAGATTGTTATATATTAAGATATTAATGACAATCCTTAAGTAAAATAATATTTAAAACAGCACACTAGGGGCTGGAGAGATGGCTCAGTGGTTAAGAGCACTAACTGCTCTTGCAGAGGACCCAGGTTCGATTCCCAGCACCCACATGGCAGCTAACAATCATCTATAACTCCAGTTCCAGGGGATCCGATGCCTTCTTCTAACCTCTGAGCATTGCACGATGTGGGTGCACTTTCACACATGCAGGCAACACATTCATATACATAAAATAAAAATAATAAATAAAATATTAAAAAATAAAATAGTCCAGTAAAGTGTATATATATTATAGTTAACATTAAAGTAGACAATGATGGAGAAACTGAAGAGAAAAGAGACAAAACTCACATAGAAAATAAATGGCAGATATAAGTACTACTTATCAGCATATTGATGTAAAATATAAGTAGATTAAGCACTCCCATTGAAAGCCAAAAATTGGTAGGATGGATTAAATGACCCAAGTGTATGATGTCTAGAAGAAACACAGTTTGATTCAAAGATACAAATAGGCTGATAGTCAAAGAATGGAAAATAATAACCACCAAAAGAAAGGTAAATGAGTTAGACTAACAGTAAAATAAATTAAATACAAGATCATTACTAAAGAGGAAGAATTTTTCAATATGTAACATGTCTATCACCAAGTTTTAATCAATATTCACTTTAAAACACAGCCACAAATTGCAAGAAACAAAAAGTCATTAGACTTGAAGGGAGAACTGGACCCTCCAATAATGGCTAGACTTTAAATTTATGTCCATGATGGTTAGAAAAACTAAACATAAAGCTATAGAGAGCTTGAGAACAGCACAAACTAACTGACTTAGAAAATACCCAAGAACATTCTACTCAGCAGCAGCAAAATATACAATCTTTTCAAGGATGCATCACGATTGGAATGGAATAATATGAACAGTTGTGTGCCAACAAATCAGGTAACTAGATGAAATGGACAAAGTTCTAGAAAAACACAAACTACTAAAATGGCTAGAAGAACAGAAAAATTTTTTTGAGACAGGGTCTCCCTATAGCCACAGCTGGCCTGGAACTTGCCATGTAGACCAAGTTGGCGTTGCTCACACTGAGATCTGTCTGCTTCTGCCTCCTAAGTGGTGGGATTAAAGGCATGCACCACCATACCCTGTGGACTTCAGTATCTTAAACAGATGAAATCATTTTTTTCCTAGTGTTTGGCTCAAACCAAGGCCCTTGGCATGCTAGGCAAGTGTTCTACCACTAAGCTACACTCCCAGCCAGTCATGAATCTTAGGAAAAAGTAAGCACCCACCTGGACGGGTTTCTGCCACCACAGGGCCAGCGAGGTCAGAGGGCTTGCCGACACCTGCCTGGTTGATGGCACGGACACGGAACACATAGCTGACTCCCTCTTTGAGGCCTTGCACCTAGAAAAAGCAGGTGTAGAAGCAATGGGTGACTTTTGTCACAAGCAGATGTGTTCCTCCACTGTAAGAACCATCTGGTTTCACAGCACCAAGGAACTAGCGCTTGTGCTCTAGAGCTGGCTCTGTGATAGTCAGGTGGCTTTGACTTGAACTCTCTTCTTTGTGGACCAGTTATTAGTAGATGTAAATCTACTAATAAGATCCCCCTAGGATCCCCCTCCAAGTCTGACATCTCTCTTAGATCATTTAAGAGCTTCCAACATCTCACACACACACACACACACACACACACACACACACACACACAC